AGACCAAATTTTCGATGCACAAAACTGAAAGTTAACTTTTGCTCCCACTAGGCGAAAAGAGATTGAAGTTGGTATAAAAACTGAATTAACTATTTTGTTAAGAGTTTCAAATGTAAACAAATGGAGGATCCATAAGGCTTACCACTTAAACAACTTTTAAACTCTTGACAATTCTACAACTATTACATGCAGATTAACTAAAGGCATAAAAACCTTAACTGAAACAAAAGAACAACATAATTCAATCATTTTAAAGCAAAAAATGCGCAATTTACTAAGATATAAGAATAAAAAAACTGATTTCACCAAGCCAGGTAACAAGATTGGTGTATATATATACACCAATCTTGTTAATATATATATGTTTTATATATATATATATATATTTTTGTTATCTATATATGTTTATATATATATATAATTATATATATATATATGTTTGGTTATATATATCTAGTTTATATATCTATCTATTATATGTGTATATATATATATATATATATATATATACACATATATATGTTTGGTGCGGTCGATTGCAACCAAAAAATGAGCTGCACAACTGCATGGTTAGAGCAATCCCATATACAAAATTTCACTGTTCTGAGGCTACTCATTTTTTAGTTATTCGAGACACATAAATACGAAAAAAAATCTCTTCTGAATCCATTTTAAATCCAATTCACAAACCGTTTTGAAAATAATAATAATATAATAATAATAATAATAATAATAATAATAATAATAATAATAATAATAATGTGGACACCACATGACTTCCTTGTCTGGCCTATTAAATTATGCACATTTTTTGCTGCATTTCATTTAAACTTACTTCCTCGACTTTCATTAGAGATATATTTCTCATTCAGTTAAACAGGCATCACTTCGCGGCAAAGCAAAAATGCATAAAAATTCAAAACATCTTCATTAAAAATTGTAAAGTGTAGAAAAACATAAAACACATAATACAGTTAAAACAGTTTAAAAAAATTCTACATTTAAAATCAGAGTTTTTACATAAAAACAAACAATTCAGCCATCGGACAAAAAAGCAGATTTTTCGATGCACAAAACGGAAAGTTCACTTTTGATTCCACTCGGCGAAAAGACATTGAAGGTGCAGAAACTGACTTAAATCATTATTCTATTTTCACATCTAAACAATTGCAATAGTTGTAAAATTATCAACAATTTAAAAGTTTTTAAGTGCGGCTAAGCCTAATTATTTTACTATAGCAGCCATATTTGTTTGCATTTGAAACTTAGCAGAATAGCGAATTACATCAGTTTCTGCACCTTCAGTGTCTTTTTGCCGAACGTAAACTTCCAGTTTTGTGCACCGAAAAAATCTGCCTTTTCGCGCTCTGGCCGATTGCTTGTTTTTGAGTAGAACACTAATTTTAATTATAAAAATTATTTTTTAAATTGTTTTAACTGTATGTTATGTTTTATAGTTTGTTCCCTATTTTTCAATTTTCAATAAAGATATTTTGAGGTTTTTATGTATTTTTGCCTTGCCGCGAAGTGAGAACGGAATTAATTAAATGAGAAATATATTTCTAATGAAATTCGAGGAAATTAGTTCAAATGAAATGCAGCAAAAAATGCATATAATTTAATATGCCATGCAAGGAAGTATGTGGTGTACACATCAGATTTTTTTTTTTTTTTTAAATTTATTTAATGTGATACTGGATGGCTGTAAGGCTGAAAAGAAGCTTCCAGCAATTCCCGATATAATTACCATTGTTTCATTTGAATGGCCTTGTTTAATGTATTTAATATTGTATTTTTGATATCAAAAGCATTTAATTTCCCCCAAAAATATCTAAAAAAAAAAAAAAAAATAAGTGAAAAATAGCAAGAAAACATATTATGTGGTATCCAAAGATTTACAATAATTCATTAATGTGTAAAGAGATTAATTTTAACTGAAATTATACAAAATTTGAAATTTCTACTACGCGTTTTTAATTTTCCAAATCTTACTGTCAAATTTATAAGGATGAAAATGTTAGAGAAATCCTGACTAAGGTTTTTTATCGGAAGAAACTCTGAATTCACCTAGAGTTTCATACTGGAAATGTAATTCCTACATTTAGTTTATTATCTGTTCAAAATATGGAAACATTCCAGAATAATCTGAATTGTCCCCTTTCTGCTATCATGCTATCTAAACTGTGTTTTATTCATATTAAGAATGTGCTTCTCCAGAAAAAAGAAAACTATATTTAAATATTGTCCACGATTGCAAATAGTTGAATATTCTCTTTCAAATTATTTACACACACACACGTATACACTCTTTCTCTCACACACACAGGTATGATTTCACGGGTTCAGCTAATAATTAAAAATAATAGAAACAAAGAACTGCGTTTTATTGCTTTTAAAATCACTTAGTTTGTTAATCAATAACAGACAGATTAAATTTGAAAAAACAAAAATGAAATTACTTCTTTACCGAATGGAAACGTATTGACACGGAGAAGATTAAAGATGTTTTATTTCAGGCATTGGCAATACATTGCTTTTAAATAGTCGCGTTTGTTGATTAAATATGAAAAATAAATATCTCACAGTTTGCCAAACAGCACCGCAATATCGCACCGACGATAAAAAAATGTTTCATTTCCGGATGTGGCAACACAGCTTTTCAGTCATTGAATTTGTTAATCCAATATTCACTTAATTCACTCAAAATATGAAATAAAGGAAACACAAACTCGAAATTCAAAATTTGAGCTTTGAAAAGCACATGTTCAAGTGGAGGCCTATGTACGTTCAAAATTTGGGGGCTCTAGGCGCGTACATATATTTATTTACAGATTCTCCATTATTATAACAGAAATCGAATCATTCGGAATAACTAACAAGATACTGACTTTTCCCAGAATATTTTAAATTTTATTCAAATGATATTTTTAAAACGCTGCAAACAAACTGTAAAAGGTCTTTTAAAATAAATTTCATTTTTTTTGGTTCACACCGTTTCAATCATGAAAGTACATTTTGAGATCTTATTATTTTTATTATGTCACAGAATAGCATAAGAATAGAAAGAAGAAGCAATATAAATGCAAATATAAGTATTTACATTTTATCAAACGTCGAAAAAGTATTCATTAAATCTGAAATCATATAAATGTGCAAGATGTAAAATATGAAAGATCATTAACTTAACTTTGGCAATAGTCCTTTTTATTATCCATTTTAATTTGGAAATCTCCCTTTTCTTTTCTAAAAATATAAATCATTTATAACTTTTTGAATTGCATCTTTTCGTTTCATAGTACTTCCTTATGTAATTCTGAAATGCGATGGATCCAATCAGATTAAAGAAACTTTTGTCTACAAATATTGCTTCTACTAAAGCACATGCCTTTTCCCCTGCTGCCCTTGCTGCTAGCTAAGCATAGTTTGCTGCTCCGTTTCGTTTTTTGTCTAAAAAGATGTAAGTTGTACAAATTGTGGTGGTGCTTGGCGTACCCATAAATGATGATGTGTGAACCTTTTTATATGTACCAAGGCTTACTGTATTACGAAATAAAATTATATTGATTCAACGTCCGCGTCTGAAAGCTTTTCTTCTCCATTACGTCATCTCATGTATCCACGCAGCTGTTTTTCTAATATCAAGATATCTATAGAATTTATATTACATATATATAATCAAGAGACAATAATTAAATCACGAAAGTTGGTCACTTTCCAACAGGAAATAATCAAAAACGATTCAATAAAATTTATAAAACATATAAATTGATGTAAAATACATAGAATATTGTTGCGTGCGTACGGGTTCGTAATAAATTGAATGAACAAGTCGGTAAAAAGTCAATAAAATTTATTCTTATCCCAAGAAATAAAACAAAATGCTGAAATGCCCTCAGAGATATTCGTACAATATCGCAATATCTCACAGTAGATCTCATTTTGATCTACTAATATATAAATAGAACTCAATTCAAAAACACAGAGAAAACTAATCCGATCTCACAGTGAATTCGCAACATTCAATAACAAAAACTTAGTAAACAATTTAGAAAATTTACCGGCTTTTATAAGCTTTTTAATCCTGCACGATTTTTCTGGATAGCAAAAGATTCTTATTACGAGATATCTATTTATTAAATGTTAAATGCGTATGCTCCTGTGTTTTGATTCTTCTGGCCTAGCTTTCTCTTCAAATAAGTCTCATGCTGCATTGCATAGGAATATGAAAATATTTTAATTACAAATTCTATTAAAAATAGCTAAATAAATGCAAAAACCGTAACAATATACTATAATTGTTAAAAATTCCTTTGTCTTTTCAAAGAGCAGCCGAAGAATTTTCAACAGAACGGCGTTTCCGAATTATGTATAGATAATCAAGAACTTTTGAAACATTAATTTTTCTTTAAAAATTAAGATCCAGTTAAGATTATTTATTTAAAATAATCAAAGTGTTTTGTTGTACATTAGAATCTTCTCTGTTTAGCACAAAGTTTCATGATGTAAAGGTGAAGATCTCATAAAATGTTTCCTTGACACCCAAATAGCCTCTTTTAAAAATGGCTTGAAAATGTAATTGAAAGTGATGGAAATAAAGATTGAATTTAAAATCACTTGTTAAAAATTCATGCAAAATGAAAGGTGAAGGAAAAACGCGAGTTTAAAGGAATATACCATACAAGGTAATTTTATCTTAATTATATTTACAAGGGAATGCCCATTTAAAACGAGCTGTAGTTTTATTAGGTTTCAGTGATACTTCCCTTATTACGGCGATGGCCGGAGAATTTTAAACTTCACGAAAGTTCCTAGTTTTCTTCAATAGGAATGCATACCGCTTCCTACATCTACTCCACTGGAGCGCACATCTCTCTTATGGCAAAAAGTGGCAACCTTAGCTACATTCGAACTAGAATGGAGTAATTTGGCGACAAAAGAACCCGGGCTTGTTATTGCAACCCTGTGGAGCTACATCCATCCATAGATGCTGTACCGCACGCATGAATTTGACAGACAGTGCGCAAGGACTGAGTGTACGGAACTAGGCGGTCTAAACACAATGACTGTGTTTGCGAAGCATCGCATAAGAGAGGTCTTTGCACTTGCTTATGAACTGAGGATAAACTTAATATTTCTAGTATTCTTGTAAGAATTTTTTTAAGCTGAATGCACGAGCTTCTCTTCTAAAAAGATGTCGAGCCAGCAATCCCAAAGGATGCGAAAGAATGTATCTCCCGGTGCGGCAACAAAGCAAGGCCCTATCAGGGCTACAGTTCCATTATCTTTAATGCATCAGACTTGTAGTCCAACAAGATGTTTAAAAAGTAGTCCTTCTAATTCACCGCCAGTAAACTGGCCAAATGATAGAACCAAAGTCAAAACAAGGCTGTCTCCTGATAATAGGATATCGCCAGAGACACAATCTCCTTCGCCTTCAGGATATAGAGGTAGGAAAATTGTAATTAACTCTTTTAATTTAATTATATCAATAATCGATCAGTCACAATCGATATTTGTTTTTCAAGCATTCTTTAATGTAAAAGATCTGCAGCTGTACTACTACTCTTAAAAAATCAAGATATGAAAACTAGCGTTCTACTTTTTTATGCTTAATGTTATACTACGATATTATTTGTTAAGCTTCTATTAAATCGCTTGTTTCTTTTAAATCACTTTTGTAAATGAATGCATGATAGACGGCGCTTTCTATATTTTTAAGCATTTTAGCAGCTGCACAGCATATGACCCAAGACCGATTTCTTGAGATGTATTAAAGTAAAGAGCAACATTCATTGTGCTTCTCTGAAGCTGTAGCTTTTAGTTTAGGTATCTGAAATACGGTTTTATAGATGTTGTTTTCCAGAAACTAAAAATTAAATACCTCATTCAAAAGTCTTAACCGTAGACGCCATATTTGTTAACGTCGCGTAAACTTCCTCAGCACGTAAGATAAGAATTCAATTGTTGATAAATCTTAACAAGCATTTATACTGAAAAGCTTTACATTGCAAAAATAATTAATTTGGCAGAAATGTGTGTTTATGCATAAAGGTAGTAAAGTAATCATGATAATCTTGCAAACTGTATCATACAAATCAAACACTGCTCTTTTGTTTCCCATCTAACGTATGTTTTAAGAAAGCATAAAAGGTTGTACTGGAAAATGTTCGCTGCGTCTAACATTAATTTCAAGCCTTTAATATGCGATTTTATTTGGTTGTTAATATGGGCTTTGTTAAAAATCAAATCTAACATGCCAGACAATGAACAAGAATAATGAATGACATCGAGTCATTTTCTTGATAAAAATAAAACACTGGTTTTTCTCAATAATAATTTCTAAATTTTTATTTGTATTGCTGTTGATTCAATAATTTATCAAGTTTTCGTTTGACTTATTGTGTTTATTGTAGCAATCAACCATCAGGGTGTAGTCTCTTTTCACATAAAATTACCATACATTAAAAAGGTTTTTCCAAGAGAAACATATTTTGCTTTTAATGAATTTTATCGTTTTTTATGATCAAGGAAAATTCAAGGGTAAACATCAAAGGGTTGTAAGCAACAGAAATTTGCCAAGGGAAAAAAAACAACATATTTTGTTCTTATCAAATATTATGTATTATCAATTTTATGATTGTTCTGCATAAAATCATCAGCATTTTATGCTTGCATTTTTATTTAAATATCAGTTTAATAATTTCAGTTATTATGATTTTGCTGTATAAAAATTCAGTATAAAATTTAACTTTTTCCTGAATTTTTCATGTAAAGTTGAATTAAAATACAAAGTTGTAATTTTATTTTGGTTATGTAAACAAAGTCATATTTACAGTAGAAATTACTCAGAAAATGATATTGATTTGAGTAGATTGCAAATATTTGCAGATGCATCAGTATTTTGAGTTTTATTAACTATTTTATTATAAATAAAAATGAAGAAAATCCTGTATGTGCAAATACTTCAGACAGAATGATCGTACACTGTAGTTTCCTTGCATCCTTTTTCAATTAAAATTCAAGTAGTATTTTACATAGTGATCCATATAGCCAAACTTGAGAATTTAAAAATTTCAAGTATATATTTTTGGCTGATTTAAAATTAAAAGGCTAGAATAAAGTTTTTAATTGATACTGTAAATATAAAATATTTTAAATATCTTGTTAGTTTTATTCCAGCCAGGCATGACTGCTAATATATTAGTAATAAAAACAGTGATATTGTTTAACATGGCAGTTCATATTTTTTTTTAATATTTAAAATTCTATAAATCTTCCATATGGAATGTGAAAGGCAAATTGAATCTTTGAATTTTACTTTTGCCTTTTTTTCAAAAAAAAAAAAAAAAAAAAAAAAAAAAAAAAATCAATTATGTACTTTTGTTTGAATCTACAACAGTTTTTAAATATTTTATACTTATTATAATAATGTTTTCTGTAAATGTTTAATGGTCTTTAGTTTTATATATGATGCTATGTTCCAGTTTGTGAATTAACCACAACTAAGTGCTTATAAATTCATTTGCTATAATCTTGTATTATGCAGGTCACATGCTTGCCCAGTGGGCATTGGGAATAATAATTTAAGTAACATATTTAGGTATTTACTTTCTCATTCTGAATTCTTATGTATTTAAAAATATGTTTGTAGGTATTAATGACAGTTGACAAATCTAATTAAAAAATAACTTTTTATACATTTAAAATGAATAAATGAGTACATAAAATATGTTTGTATGTGTTTGATTAAAAATATCTGAAATCCATATTTCTTATTTTTTAAGCATTGCAATATTATGTTTGCAGTAATAATTTTATGGGAAGTGTTGTTATTTCATTGCAAAGTTTTAGCATTAAAATTGTGTTAAAATTATTCTCTATTTAATTATCTCTTTTTATGTTTAATTGATGATCTATGTACAATACTAATAAAGTTTAAAGTCATTCATCTTGTAGTTAGTGTAATTTTAGTTTCTTCATGTTTTCAAGTCATTATGTATAAAAAGAGATGTATCTCTTAAATCCTATTAGATTATTGGTTGGTTAATACCATCTGATCAAGGTATTTTGTTATTTATTAATGGAATGAGGTGGCCAATGTGTAAAAATTCTGGTAATCATACAGTTCTTCAGTTTTAAGTACCAATGCTGCATATTGGTATGCATTTTTTTTTTTATTTCAAATTCCAGTGCTGGACAAATTGTGATTATTTTTTTTTTGGTTAAACTTGATTTTAAAATATGTGCTTGTGGCATTTGCTAGCATTGGAAAAAGGTCAGGTGAAATTTCTGAAGAAGTACAGTATTTTTGCCTTAATATCACTAAAATAATAATGCTTCAAATCTCTTCTCAAAGCATTTATCAAAAAATTTGCACCACAATTAAAAAAAAAAGCTTACTTATTTTAAGAAGTTTATTGATTTTTTTTAAATACAGTTTAAATGTTAAATATGTATGTATGTAATAATTTTTTACATCAAAAAGTCATTGTTTTTCCCTCCGTAACATTTACCAAACTTGCAGGGTGGTTGTGCTTATACATAAGTACCGAGAAAGCCATTAAAAAATGTCAGCTATAACTTCGACAGTCATTAAATTTGAAGCAGCTTTAAATTTGCTAAAAAGCAAGTAAAAAAGACAGAGAATAGAAGTTTTTAAAAATCAAGCTCAGCCGCAAGGCCTGTGTTTTACCATCAATAATTTCAAACAACTAGACAAAAAAACTCCCAATCAGTAATTTAAAATCAGATATTTTACTTAATGCCTGCTTAAGTAAACTAATGATTAATAGCTAGTAGGTCAATTTATTTATGAAGTTTGGTTGAATGAACGAAATCACAAAGCATAATTCTTTGTTACTGAGATTCAAGTTCCAGTGAGGATAAGCTGGAATGCAAGTTTGAGATATTTTTCGCATTTATAGTGCAGATATAGATAAGTTTCACATAAAGAATTTATCCTGATGACAACACCTGTGTGAGAGATTACCTGCTTTACCATAATAAATAATCTAACACGGTTGTATATCGTTCTAACATGTTATTTTCTTTCTGTGTTTATTGAAATGGTATTCTGCAAGATATGATTACTGCCTTTGTTCACTAGATGTGAACTCAGATCTCCAGGTTTTAGGGGGCCTTCAAATCGTTCTGTATTTTTTATCATGTGAAAAGGAGAAGAGTGGTCAATAAAAGTTTCTGAAAAGTGCTGCATCTAGAGCCCAAATAAGTTTAATCAGGCCATGGTATTTTAGTCTTGATAAGCACACTGTTTATTAACTGAAACAATTTATTTGGGATTATCTTCCTAAATGGTTTTGCATTGTTTTGTGAGACGATATTTTAAGAAAATCTCCCTCATATTTACATAAACATGCAAAAATTTGGGGGGTGAAAAAACTTTTTTTAGCGATATCTCTTAACTTGAGATGAGCATGAACTATGATTGTTCAGCAATCTTATTTTATTTGTTGATGGATACATTTTTTTGAGAACTAAAAAGTGTCAGCTTTAAAAAGCATAAGTAATATTGAATTGAGAGATAATTTTAAAGTAGATACTTTTAATCACAAATTATTTTATTGTAAATTGTATGTGGTAGTGAATTCTAATTTCACAATCACATGTAGTCACATGTTACACTTTTAGAGAGTGTAACAAATTTCACCTTTTCTGTTGCCTTTTGGTTTTCATCACTTTTAACTGAGATGAGCCTTCTATTAATTTGGCAACATTTTTATTTTGAACAATTTCCAATGGGTATATTCTTTGAATTGGGCAGAATAGAATGCCCAGTGTTGTTTTAACATGCAGAATTGTAACTTTACTATCAAGCCCTGGGATGAGCTCTATCAGTCTAGCTAATAGTCAGTCTAAAAGTTTTTTATCACAGCTAATTAATATCATATATCTTCTTTGACATTTTAGTAAAAATATATTTACGGGTGCCCCTTGGTGAAAATTGGCGGTACATGAATATTGAGTTTGTGCAATTCTTTGACTTGTTATTTTGGCTTTGTGTAGTGGCGATTTTTTGTGGAAAAGTCACACAAAGACAAAATAACTAGTCAAAGAATTGCACAAACTCGGTATATCCATGTATACATCGACCTATTTTCACTTAAAATAACATCAGAGAATTGCACAAACTTTGCATTGCACACTCCCTAGACTTTGTCCATGTACACATCGATTAATTTTCACTTAGAAAGGAGCATCCAATTCTACAGTAGAGCCAAACAAAAAGTACATAATCTCAGTAAACTACATTTTAAATCAAACAATAAAATAACATAAAAAAGAAAATTCATCTTATGCATTTAAGCACTACACAAAGCAAATATCCACTTACCTTATTTAGAAATTTCCGAGTCCTTCAGTCTGTGTCGCACAAAAATTCCTTAACAGCATCCAAAAACTTTCTAAAATTATCTGAACTAGAATCCGT